TATGTTAGTATCTCATTTATTTCAAATTAGATACTTGTAAATACATTTTTTAGACGGGTTGATGCATAGGACTCTTACGTATGATACAAGACAGGCTTCTAATTGGATTTATATTTTGCGCAATTTAGAAAAACTACATATTTGTCTACAATTTATCATAGAGCATCCATGTTTCAAACTCGTTGTTTGGGAATTTGGCCTGTAAATGGTCAAAAAATAATTTTTTAAATTTGAACTTTTGGAAGAATATTGCAAATATATCTAACTTTTCATATTCGCAAACAAAGATGACTTTAATCCATTATCCATTTCGTTTTTGTATTTGTTTGTTTACGTCCGCCAATATTGCCTTTCCAGAAGGAAGTCCAACTTCATTGCTAATTTTCTGGCCCTTGAACCGAAATTTTCTTAAAATATCAACTTTATCATGGACCTGGAAGAATTTCTTCTTACATAATGCCCAAAATTTTTCGATTGGGCGAAGGTGAGGTGTTTTTGGGAGATTTTTATCTTTCATCGCTAAAATAACATTTTTCACGACTTTCTCCGTCACAGTTTTTGTATAGTGAATTGTTGCAAGGTCGGGCCAAAAAACCACATTGTATATTTTATTGTGCTCCTTGATGAAGGGAATCAAAACATCAATCTCACATTATTTTAAGTATGTCTCTGAGTTCATGCACCCCTCATGAACATAAGGCTTCGAAAAATGGCCAAATTGATCCAACACTTGCAATACCAGGTATTTCTTCGGAAATTTAAACACATTTTATTTTGTCTTCTGTTTTAACTTGAGGTGGATTTTTGGCATAGAAAAATTGCCTCCCTGGAGTTTCTTCAGGGTCCTCAAGGACGTAGGACTCGTCAGCAATAACCAAACTTTTTGGCAAAATTTTGCTGTACGGCTTAGGAGGCCAGGCTGTTACGGTTGCTTTTTGAGTTTCAGTGTGTCTTGCTTCAGATTTCTTGGTATGGGCCTTGATCCCCAGTTTATGGGCCTTAATGTCGTACAAGTAGTTGGCATTTATTTTCAATTTCTTGGCCGCAGCAGGGACCGTTGTGCATTGATTTTGTTGGAAAAGATTTTCAATGGATTTGAACTTTCGAGAAGTTGCTATGATGGGTTTACTTCCTCCACGGTTTTTGAAATTGATATTTTCGGATTCCCCATACTTTTTCATGTAAGAACTAATTTTTGTGGAGGCACACCCCTTTTGCGTAAAGTGTAACCAAGTCTTTTTTGAGTTTTTTTTTTTTGAGAGAACACATTTTTGTACTTATTCACAACTCGTTTCACGACTTCTTCGCTTTGAAGTCGTGTGAGAAGTTTATTTTCCATTGAAAAGTTTTGAAACTTTCAGGAATCAAGGCTAGATATATTTTGAATATTCTACCAAAATTTCAGATTTCTAGTTTGGTTTTTGCTATTTCCACCACTAATCTACCTCCACAACGAGTTTGAGACATGGATGCTCTATATATGTTTTAAATAAATTTATATAAAGCCTAACCTAACCCAACCTCGGATTTCCTCTAACTTCATTAATCATACATACAAAAGGTATGTACATTCATATTTATTTATTTATTTCAATGAAGCACCCCATTACTGGGACTTGACGCCTCAAGGCAAACAATAAGAAACATTACAAGATTTACATATTGATTTTGACTACATTTAATTAAATTGAATTATATTGTATTTCATTACCTTTCATTTTATTACATTATTGTTGCAGAATGGGAATGTTGAGACGATGTGTTAATTAAAAATATTTTTTAATTCCAAAATTAGGTCCGAAGTATAGGTATATACAGTGGCTTATATTAAATATTAATGTATGAAGTAATGTTAGAAAAAAGAAAATTAGTGTATTCTCGCACAGTTTTGGAGGAATTAAGTAATTAGTGATAGTCCCATGCTAAAAGTCCGAAAATCGAGAAAAATTATCATCGGAAACATTATGCAAATTTTGGATTATTTAGTAAGTAATAATAACATAGTTATGATAAAAATATAAAATATGTGTGTGCTCGCACAGTTTTCGAAATATAAAATAATTAAGTTAATTAAAGTAGCATAGGGAATTGTGTAAGAGAAGTAGCTCATATTATATAAATCCGTCACCCACGACATGTAGTGGGCAAGTTGAGAATCACTGCGGAAGAGAGCGGAAAGAGAGAACATGTCAAGTAAGTAGGTAGTTAAGTGTGTAAGGAAAAAAACTGCCCATTACAACCACTGGACCCCACTGAGTGGGACATTACCCAGGGAGGGAGCTTAGCATCTGAGCATGACAGTGGGAGAAAACCCCACTGTAGGTACTGGAATTGAACCCAGTACCCCCATTCAGCCCACTCAGATAGACGGTAAACAGGACGGCCATTCAGACCCCACTGCCTGGTCACCAAGCTCTAATAAATACTTATATAGTAAGTGGGAGGAAGTTTTTCGCGCAAGGACAGAGTGAGCATGCTGGCGCTCACTCCAAGTGTGTGTCCAAATGAGTAAGTAAGAAGAGGAGATAAATTTGTTAGTGTTAGTAATTTAATTGATAGTGCATTAATTAGTCACCTATTCATTGTTGTATTGTAGTTAATAGTGTGTCGTAATAAAACCAGTTAAATTAGTGGAAGTACGCTAGTTCTGGGACTTTATTGGCCTTATTACTGCAACGAGTTGTGCAACGTGAAAATAGGGACATTTCTGCTTATCATTAGGTCATCCGTTAAGTTTCTTTACGACGCTGGAAGGGGCTCTACCCACCACCGCTATTAGATTATAGGGTGGGAAAACCAGTCAAGGATTGAAAACCAGAGCGAAAAAGCAAAAAAGCTGATATCTATTGACGTTAAAGGCTTATTATTATTATTACGCTGTTCGAATTTTACACATCCATAAGTCAGCTACGGTGAGCAGCGCCGTAACAATTATATTTCAGTAGATTACATTATGTTCCATTACATTACATTTGATTACACTTGAGTACATTTGATTATATTGGTTGCGAAATAAAGTTTAATGTTTGCGATGGGACGGAGCTGTGGGGTGAAAAATGATGACAGGTTAGGGTTCGAATCACAGGCGGAAGTCAGGTTGGTCTCAGCCCTTTCTTGGAGTTATTTACATCCTCTGGTCCATTTGACACTAACTTTCCATTTTTGACAAATAGAACCTGCGAGTCTATGGTAATTGACTTACTTACTATTCCAATTATTTAATTTCCGCACTGACCTTGTCATTCTTCAAAGCCTTGGCTCTTCTCCTCAGTATGCCAAAGTCCCTTTTTAGTGTAGCTGGCAGATCCTCATTAATGAACACAGGTGGCACTGTATTTTTCTGGCTTTCCCATACTAATTCCCGATCGGACATGTTAAAGAAACGAACAACAACCTGTCTAAGTTTAGATAAGTCGTACTTCCATTTACTATATATAGTCTCATTGCCCAACTCAGAATTGAGTTATATTCCATAAAATTAAATAACTATAAGATAATAACTTCAGCCTGCTGCCCACTTTGTACCTCTAACTGCGACGCCACAGTTGACCACTTGACTTTACACTGTAAAACTTTAAAAACATCTCGCGATAAACATTTAAAAATTTTAAAAATAATTATAAGCATTTTTATAAACTGTATAATAGCAACTATGATAATCGAAATTTTGTCACGTCTGTATTTTGCCTTTGGATTGATATTTTCAATTTTTACGACTTGTTAGTGTAGAACTATAATTTGACTTTTACATGCGCTGTGTAAAAAAAGTTTCTCTATAGATATATATATATATATATAAATTGTTTATTATTTGGTTTCAAAATTATGAAGGGTGATTTTCTGAGTAGTGAAGAATAACTGATTAAGTGACTTATATTCGGGAACTTTCAAAAATGTTGCTTTTGCAATCGCAAACACTTCTTTTATTTTTATTTATTAAAATAACGGAGAGATTATTTCAACTAGGCTACCACATTTCAAATCCCTTTAATAATTCCGCATACATGCATTATTATAATTATTGAAGAGAGACGACGCAGAAGAGGTAATATCTGTAGATTAGAGTTCACATCCTTAAGACATTATGCTTATCATTTAACCCATCAACTTAACTAATTAAAACACACACACTTCGTTATTTTCATGCATTGCAGCAATGTAGTCTCATTATTTTGTATCACGTCATCATTATGACATCATCATTGTCCACTCATTGTCCACCACGTCCATCTCTCTCTCCATTGGAATATACTTTTCCATCAAAATTTCGGACGTCATAGGCCACCCCCATATTTGAAAATAGTTCCCACACATCCCACTTAGGCCAGTTGTTCGAGTGTGAGTGAAATCTGGTCGGGCTGACCGTTTTGGTGACGTTTTTCGGCTAATCTCTGTACCAGTGCTGCAGCCACCTACTAACAAACCCTCAGCACCGATAAATGGACTCTCCCTCTTAATACCACCAACCACTAACTGTTGCACTCAATAGACCCGCATAACCATCGGAGGTGAAGTAAGTTACATACATAACTTTGTATATGTCTTCCCACTCTTTGGAGATCAAATATTTGTTCTTATTTAATCTGCGAAATCTAATTTGTAAAATAACTAGCTTTGAACTTAATGACCCAGGTTAATGCTACTGCAGTCTACATGTCATCTAATATTGTTGCTACCTGGACTGCTGTCGCGTTGATATCCAATACAATTAGGACCCAGGTTTAAAATTATTTTAAAATTATTCTATTCGTATTATGTATACGTATGGTGGAGGAAACACTTGTAAATACATCTAATTAGTTTTAGTTGCTTTACTGCTTAAATTTAAAGAATTATTTGCAAAGTGTCATGGTTTGGAAACCAGTTTGTATTAACTGATAATTATTGACACCTGAATAAAGGCTTACAAACAAACAAAATTAATTTATGGGTCGTAATAATAAGTATGTACTTACTGAGTCTGTCTAAGCATACTTTTTCATTGCTAGTATGCACACATTTTACACGAACACAGTAAACATGATTGTCACACCGATAGCCGCTCCAACTCCAAGGCAAACCATCATCATCAGAATTTTTATCTGTAAATACATGTAAATTTACAATATTTATAAAAACCCAATCTCAGTTTTTGGACATGTACCTTGCGAAGTTGTTTTCTACGTTCACGAACATTACTGACATCTCTCGTTCCTGAGCCTATCTTGTCTCCTGAAATGGTCACGTTGTACTCAATATTGTCAAGAATCTCGCCCTAACAGAATTACCATAGAATACACGTATTGACAATTCTGTTAAGTATAATATAAGATGTTTGAAGTATGAACTGTTGCGTCAGTTAATGTCATAAGAAATTCTTTCAGAAAATTAATTTTTGTCGATTTTCTCCAATTTTTATCAAATTATTCTCTCTTGGAAATCAATTTCGTAATATTAATATGAAAGGGAACACCATACGACAGACAAGTATTTTTAGCACCTGTGCATCAGTAATGTTAGAAATGTCCACAAACAGACCGTTCGTTTCTTTAATTAATCCCTCCAACTTGATAAGGTCTTTGTGTCGACCGTCTATTTCGCGGAATTGTTGTTCATCCATCAAGATCTGATTAAATTTCACACGATTAAGTTCCTCTGACGGAGTTCATACAAACTTTTTTAAGATTATGTACCTGTTGAGTAAATAGCGAAATATTTCCTTGGTCCCACAACTCGTCAAGGTCTTTACTAGTTTTTCTTACTCCAGCTGGATAACCACGTTTTAATAGATATGTACATACTATTAGATACATACACTGCGAAAACTCCGACTGTTTTAATTGGACACCATTGATGTATATTTTTCACTGAGGGTGACCCTCATCATCACCCAGTAATACCCACTGGTGTCAAACCTCCCACTAAGTTGGATTAACAGTGGATTTTTTGCAGTGTAGTAAATTATTTATTGCAAGACATATACAGGGCGTCCCAACAGTTTTTACAGGATAAATTACATATAAAACTTGCAAGAATAAAATTATTGTGTTTTTTCTTATCATAGATGGATATCGCAACAACGAGTACAAAAAAGAAATATCTGATATTTTAGAATTTTTTCTCACTTTGCTACTACATACATACATGCACACATACATAAATCTGTTTACGTTTTCCTGATGTCTACATGATTTTGTAGCCAAAACTTAAATACATGGTTTCCTTATATATGGGACGCCCTGTATTTGGTGGAAGGTAAATACATAAAGAAATCAACTAACCAATTTCTAACTGCCGTGAAATTTTTCTTCTTAAGTCATTCTTATGCTTTTCCTGAAGTTCGATGTTTTCTATGACGAGACTGGCAAGATTTTTGTGCAGTGCTTGAATTTGTAGCAACTTTATTTTCTTGATGGTCTCCGAATCGTGATTTTCATTGGTTTCGACGAAATGTTGAATTTCTGAGTGATGTAAATATTTTAAAAATTGCTTTGCTATTAACAGATTCTAAAAATTATGAGAATCACGGAAATACTCGACATATGTGTTATAGAAAATTGTTAGGGATATGTACTGTCTTTCCACATTCACATGAACTCTGATGGAGACAATATCACAGCAATTACTTATGGACTGGATTTAGTCACACGCATACCTGGCTACAAAATTTTCCTTCACTCATCATCACTCATTTTTAACTCAAACAAAAATCTCCTTCACTCCCATCCAGGGTTATGTATGTACTTTGTAAGGGCGAACTGGTGAAACCGGTCCAGCGGCGGAAGAGCATTTAAGTCTTATTGCTGGCTCCCATCCAGGGTTGCAAGTATACATATATCACCGGGTGAGATTTAGTGAGATTTAATGATTTATATCAATCATCTCAGTTGGGGCTGAGTGAGAAATATGAGAAATAATGAGATAAACTTGTAGTTCATTACCCCGTCCCCTAGGTGGCGCTAGTGCATGCTCACAGATCTCACTATATCTCATATTTCTCATTATATCTCAGTGAGATGAGATTTGTGAAGGTGAGATGAGATTTCTGCAACCCTGCTCCCATCGTTCATGACAAAACAATTTTATTCTCTTCATTCATTTTCATCACTCGTTCCTTCATTTCCTTCAGTTTCTCCCATCCTTTTTTGCAATTCCATTCCTTAACTCTCTGATCGTTTCATCATTTTCTATTAGTGTCGCTTTGTCCCAAAGCAATCTCATATTACCCCATAAAAATCTCACACAGCCCCATAAAATCTTATTTTTCCCAAGCAAAATCTACCTTTACTCCGTCATTTCCATCATTTTTCATCATATTCCCTAAATTTCTGGTCAAATCCCCCTTCACTCTGCATCATTCTATACGTAGATGGAGGATTGGTGATCTTTCGCTCTCCATCGCTCTACCTTCCCCGGAGTGAAGGCCATCAATTGGCAAGAATGAACGATGGTGTGTTCACACATATCTCAAGGCTCATATGAACGTGGACAGAAAGTATGCACTTACTTTTATACAGGGCTGAATGAAATCTTTACCATTACAATTCCAAACAATTCTGGAATATATCCCTGATTAAGGCTCAGTTGAAGTCATGAATATAAAAATAATTTCCAACTTAGTTACTAACTTGATTACATGCATTTTTTAATGAAAAAATCGAAATACGGGGTCACTGCCACCAGTCAAACGAATGCAGTTTTGTATTCAATTTTTGGAAATAATTGTACCTGTGACCCATAGGTATGACATATGAAGCGTCTCTATCCCATCTGCATGACCACTCCTGCGATAGAGTGGCACAAACGCCAAAAATAGCCGAATTTTAGCTTAAAATTGTTCTTGACGAAGAAATAATTGATTGACTGCAAAATCAGGCTTCACTTACCAAAGTCATGGGTCTTAGGCCCAATATTTCTCAAAAGTTGAGTGAAAAACTTTGTTTGTTTGACCGGTGGCAGTGCCCCCGTAGTTCAATTTGAGTCGAGAAATTTATTCGCCATATGGTAACGAAACGTATAATAAGTCTTGATTAAGGGAAACCCCCACCAAATGTCAAATCCTAGTCAAGTGCACACATCACATTCAGAAGGGTGTCAATCGATCGGTATGGATGATGCGATCATTTTGGTATATTATAGACTTTTGTGCGATAAGAATTGGCTGTAAAATTCCGGAAATACTGACATTTTGGAGATATTTTACATAATTATATTTTTCAAAATATTTCCAAAATATCAGATTTTCAGGAGTTTCACAGCCAATTATTATCGCACAAAAATCTATAATATACCAAAATGATCGTATCATCCATACCGATCGATTGACACCCTTATGGATGTGATGTGTGCACTTGACTAGGATTTGATATTTGGTGGGGGTTTCCCTTATCAACGAGTCGTCACCACCAGATTTTTTTTAAAGTGTATCTTCCCCTATTATTAGCTGCTAAGTCTTAGATGCTGAAAAAAAATTCTTTGCATTTTCAAACTTAAACTGAGCCTTAAGTGAAACGATAAAAACCAACATCTTTATGAACTTTCAAAAATAAATTAAATTACTGTACTATTGGCCATTTCGTTTGGTAACTACGCTTGAAATGCAACCAATGAACTATTTCCTAAATTGTTTTATATTGTAAATATAGTTTGTGACCACCCTACACAAACCTGTCAATGTTTGCTTAATTCGACAAGAAGATTTCTGAATTGTCTGGATCAAGCTGTGCAGGCTATTTTGTAATTCTGCGTATTTAATATTTATTTACATTACAAAATTAGTGGTGTAAAATGCAACCGAATTTCTCTAAGCAATCTTACCAATTTCTTCTCGTGGTGAGGACAATATTTGCTCCTGCATTTCTGACATTCTTCCAAGATCACTTTTAATCCTGTCCAATTTTTCACGAATCTCGTCAATCTTCAAAATATTCCATATAATGAATTACGTAAATACAACTAGTATTAAATATGGGAACTTGTATCTACGATTTAGTGGTGTGCAGACAGAATGGTCATGAAATATGTTTACCATGGTAAACAAACAATCCTGAGTTAATTTAAGATGTTGTAGCTTTCTTAGCAAATAACGATATTGGCAAAAATCACATTACAATAAAATCGGACAAAAAAGCAAACCTGGCTTCGTCTAAACTACAAACTTTAAAACAAGATTTTAGTATTTCCATGTGGATTGAAAATAAATATGCTTATCGTTCTACATGATATGCGAAAACTCCCCATCGTCGATGCGACACACCTCATCATTTTTCCTGCAATACTCACGAATACTAAGCAATACTTACGAATAAAGATATTGCAGTACGAAATTACTATAGGTCGACGATGGGGAGTTTTCGCATATAATGTAGTACGATAAGCATATTTATTTTCAATCCACATGGAAATACTAAAATCTTGTTTTAAAGTTTGTAGTTTAGACGAAGCCAGGTTTGCTTTTTTGTCCGATTTTATTTTCAGGTTTTTACTTGTCCACTAGATGCTAAAATTTTAACTTGATGCGGTCAAACCAGTCAGAAGGTCAATGTTAGACGGATTTAGCTTTTACATCATTTACAAAATTGGATTAACAAAATAAATTTTGTTTAAACAATTAGAAAAACCTATCAGTACAGCTTTGCGGAGCCCGACCCAGGGATTTTTATGTAACGACTGAAAAATTCAGTAGTTTGACATCATATTACTAGTTTACAACTTAATTGAAACCGTCATGCCGAATTTCAGCTCAATTGTACGATTTTATGAAATCGGTATGAGTCACCCCTTAGGGGCCTTCAAAGTGTAAAATTTTCAAATTTAAAGTGAAATTCTCTCATCAGTCGTCATTAGCGACCTCCTTGCCAAATTTCAACTCGATTAGAAGATTTTCGGAAATCGGTATGGGTCACCCACTAGGGTCCCTGCAGATGAAAATTTTTCCAATTTTACTTCATACTCTTTCACTAGAAGTTATTAGCATTGTATGTACCAAATTTAATATAGATCCCATGACTTCGAAAAATCGGTGTGGGTCACCCCATAGGGTCTCTCAAATGAATTTTTTCCAATTTAAAGTTATATTCGACCACTTGCTGTCATTAGTGACCTCCTTGCCAAATTTCAGCTTGATTAAACGACTTTCAGAAATCGGTATGGGTTACCCACTAGGGTCCCTCCAGATGAAAATTTTGTCAATTTCACTTCATATTCTTTCATTAGAAGCCATTAGCTACCTTTACGCCAAATTTCAGCCTTCTACAATTATTTTGTATTTTCTGCACCATTGACCCACACCACTAATATGGCCCCCACCGGCCAACTACTGGACCGATCATACCCGTCTTCGAACTTGATTCCTAACTTTGCCCAATATGAATATGGTAAAAATTTCAAGTCGATCGGATAAGTTCGAAGAGAGTTATCGCAAGACGGACGGACAGACGGACATGACGGGTACATAAGCCCAGGGTCGGGCTAAAAATGTGAAAAGTGTGAAAATCAAGTTCACAAAGTCGCAGCTACGATATGAGTATTTAATATAAATTCATAAATTATATAAAAGTAGTTGTTTAATTTGAAGGAGGTGAAAATTAGTTAAAAAAGATGCTACAGCAACTTGCAAAA